CAGAACAATTAGGGTTAAGTGCCTTGCTCAAGGGCACATCGACAGATTTTTCACCTAGTCAGCTCGGGGATTAGAACCAGCGACCTTTCAGTTACTGGCACAACACTCTTAACCACTAAGCTACCTGCCGCCCCAGGCTTACCAAGGCTAGATGGAATTAGTTGATGGTAAAATATATGGACCAGAGAATACACTGGCCCTCACAGAGCAAAGAGCATTGGCTCCTGGTCTACGAGAAACATTAAGGACCAATTAAATAACTCCATCCACATTAAAAGTTAAATTATGTTCCAAATCCTAGAACCTGACACTTAAGTATTTTGGACTGTGGACCTGCTTGCATTGCCAGTGTTTAAACATACAATATATCCAACATAGCGGTTTCCTTTAATGGATTCAATATTACAGCAATCATACCATCATTATGATAAAGCATTTGCATTTCAGTAGTTTTTTAACATTTTATTACTTTTTTTACACTTTGGTGCCGTTTTTAAAAAGATTTTACTTTGTAATCACATTCACTCATGAAGAAAGTTGATTATTGAAGGAATATTAGAGTAATTATTGTACATCTTTGATTTACATATATACAGTATTTCAAGGCGATTTACAGACATTTGTAGAGATGGGAATCCAGTCAGTGTGCAGAACACATCACTGTATGGTCCCTACCGCTCTAGTTTACATTGATTCAGTTATACAGTTAGCCTTCAGTTCAGTTGTGAAGAGGATCTGAATTGGTCTATTGCCAGAAAGACACCGGAAGACAGTGTGCCATTTTGGGACTATTGCATTCTTCATGTTGTAAGAGAACCAGTAAAACTCTTTTTAAAAACCAAGGACATTAGAACACTCTCCTAAACGCTGACACATGCATACATACTGCAGAAACTCAGTCTCTCTGTGCGTGTAGTAAAACATACAAAGAAAAAAAACGGTACATATTCTCACACTATTTCTCCCCTGCCTTCTATCCACCATTTTAATCTCCAGATCTGGCCAAAGAGCAGGAATGCTAGGGCCAGGAGTTTTACTGACTGTATGACCTGAGCAGGAAAAACCCTAGTTCAAGCCTTATAGCCTAGGACCCTGAAACTCAACTCTGGACCTCGAAGCCAGTTCCACTGCATTTTTTCATTGTTCCCCTCTAATCAGGGACTGATTTAAACCTGGGACACCAGCTGGGTACAATTAATAAATCAGGTAGAACAGAAAACCAGCAGGCTCCGGACCTCGTAGGGTAAGAGTTCAATACCCCTGGCCTAGGACCCAGGTCACGTGGTCAGGAGAAACTCCTAGCCCTAGGAATGGCATACCCAATACATACATAGCTTAAGACATGCATATAATTTTTTCATTGTTCCAAAACCTATGTTCTTCACAACCTATATAATCGTTCAGAGAAAGCCTTGGAAACCCTTATAGAATACTAGAATATTGAGGTGTGAGCAGCAGCCTGCACCTGATTCAACAACTTCCTCACAAAAAAAGAAAAAAAAAGAAACCCAAATGAAATGGACTCTAAGTAAACTGAAGCCTCCATTTGGTTGTTGATAAAGAGATAGTATTTGTGAAGGAATCCTCGTGTTCTATTATTGAGTTATTAAATATTGTTTATCGGAGGTAAGAGGGTGTTTTATATTCAAGTAAAGCATCTTTCAATGTCAAGGAAGAGGAACAAAAATGTATTGTAAATCTACACTACTGAATAATAACATAGTGTATGTTGAATTAACAGACAGGAAATCTACACTCTACTGAATAATAACATAGTGTATGTTGAATTAACAGACAGGAAATCTACACTCTACTGAATAATAACATAGTGTATGTAGAATTAACAGACAGGAAATCTACACTCTACTGAATAATAACATAGTGTATGTAGAATTAACAGACAGGAAATCTACACTCTACTGAATAATAACATAGTGAATGTAGAATTAACAGACAGGAAATCTACACTCTACTGAATAATAACATAGTGTATGTAGAATTAACAGACAGGAAATCTACACTCTACTGAATAAACTAGTGTATGTGAATTAACAGACAGGAAATCTACACTCTACTGAATAATAACATAGTGTATGTAGAATTAACAGACAGGAAATCTACTCCACAGCTCTAACGATTTCACCTCTATCTACAAATATGAAGTGACAAGTGGAGAAAATAAAATATGTTTTCCTCAATAAATGTTTATATTCGTGACGTGTACGAGATTGAATTATTACAGATGTAGAATCTTAATTTGAGCCAGTTTGCTACAGCAAGAAAATAATCATGCAGCAACAGGAAATTGAATTATTATGTGGATTATAATTAATGGCCATTTTGGTAGGGGTTGATTCATTTTTCATTAGGGCAAATCACGTCTGAAATTTCAAAGTGGAAATTACAAACTTTAGAATACTTTTTAAAACTGAAATACACTACAAGTTTGCATTTCCTGCTGTGCAGGAAAATTCTCAGCAACAAAGGTGATCAAATTAAAATCCAACATCTGTACATGTAATTATAATAATAATAATAATAACAATAATAATAATAATATGCCATTTAGCAGACGCTTTTATCCAAAGGTTATTCTTGTTACATTTGATACTGTTATTACTGCTGTTACTGCTGTATTATTGAATATGCATATTTGCTTTGCTCTTTCTTTATAACGGCAAACTTTTAAGCTAAAAAACAGGTTAGGTCATATCAAGCACCGTGTCAGATAGCTTTTCAGCATCAGTATTTAGTACTTCTATAACATTGTTTCAGCAATATTTCTCAAAGTTAATTCAGACTGCTTGTTTTCAGTTGCTTTGGCACTCAAGTAGCAAACAAATTATCTCAGCAGGTTATCAATCTATCCATCTATCTGTACTGTACATTCATCTCTCCATCCATCTATCTTGTTCTATTGCAGATCTAGTTATCTGTGGACGTTGTCTTTTATAGCCTGTTCATCAATCTTCCTTTTCTCTCTGATACAATACTACTGATGCATTTGTGTCCTTACCAACCAGATCAGACTACCGCACATAGAAATAGACCGCACAGAACAGATACACAGATCTCTCCTATCTAACTTATCATTGCCTAGCCTACCCATCTCCCTGCTAGAGGACAGAGTAGCAAGGCCTTCCTCTGCTCTCTACTGCTGGAAACTAAATAAAACGTGAGTATATATTAAAGACAGCTCGTAGGTATAATAACACTTGGGTGTCAATTACCTTTGTCATATGAATCCCTCTCCCTGTGTCAGTGACAGAGAGACACAGAGAGCAGGGCAAGGCCCCAGAGCTGACCTCAGATCAGCTTTAACAGAGTATTTACACTATACACACTGCTCTACGACATATAGGGCCGACACAGAGCCTATGGCTAGCCTGGTCCCAGATCAGTATGTACTTTAGCCAACTTCTCTCAACATAGTTGCCATGCCAAACGTTGAAATACCTGATAGAAGTGGATTAGTGGCAGAGATGACCTCTCTGGCGTCACATAGAAAATCATATGGCATGACAACGATAGTTAAAGGAGTTGGTTAAAGCACATATACAGATCTGGAATCAGGCTAGGCTATGGTCATCACTAGTTTACACAGCCGCAAAGTCACAAACCCTGCCTATTTCTACAATTTATCGTCTTAAAATCGGATTTAAAAAATAACCCTAAACTTAACCTCACTGCTAACCTTATGCCTAACCCTAACCTTAAATTAAGACCAAAAAGCACATTTCTGTTTTAATTAATTTTTACGATATAGCCAATTTTGTCTTTGTGGCTGTGTTATCTAGTGGAAACCCATAGGCTACAGCTGCATTCTAAAACAAAAATACCTGCTCTCTCTCTCCTCTTGTTGACTCTGGTCTGCTATTTACTTAGACTCGACACAGTAAAATGGTATTACATTATAATTACAGTAAAACTACTTTTGGGGTTCTTTGGGATTCAGTGATACAAGCACCACAATGTAACATTTAGTACCAGGTAGTTACCAGTTGTGTTGAAGAAAGAATACAATGTTACACAATGTTATCCAATAATTCCTTAGTAAATACCAGGTAACTGAAACAGGACGGTAAAATAATGTTACCATGACCCCCTGTCTGGTGTCAACAAAAGGGCAGAGGGAGACAGGCAGGTTTTTGTTTCAAAATGTGACTCGAGTGCAGAATCACAAACGGGATATCAGTGACGGTATCTGAGTGACTGCATCTTAGAGTTTAGTTTACTATTTGACTTTTTTTAAGTTTCCATCGATACATATGAATGAAGTGTAGATGTCTTGATAAAATGCGTGCTATGATTTGATATTATTTTAGTCCGTTTGAATAACTATGATACATTACAGTATATTTCTGTTTTGTTGCTAATAAAGTGATACATCTGGAGTTTTTCTCTCTTGCCAACTGGGCTTGGCTTTGTCTAAGGGTGCGTTCGTAAATTTTCTCTGGCTATCTACTCTGATTTCAGAGCACTCTCATTTGAGTGCCATAGCGCAGAATAACTGATTCATTTACTAACGCTCAACACGTTGAATATGGCTGGTGCCAGTAAATGTTGGCAAAAAAGCGTAATTAAATTGTTGCCAGCATCACAGTTAGTCATCAACGCTCTGGATAACATGAAAACAGCATAACCCGCTCTGCTAGGGCGAGTAAAATGGTCAGAGTGAGGTGTTCTCTCATTTTTGTCTGGATGTAGCTAGCAAGCTAGCCAAAGTTAGCCTGTTTACAAGGATGCTTGACTGCCGTTGCGAGGTCAGAACGCTCGGATCAACCCTACTCCTCAATCAGAGCGTCCAGTGTGCGCTCTGAACGCGCCGAGAGCGAAACACTCTGAATTTACGAATGGACAATCTGACAACGCTGTGAATTTACGAACGCCCAGAGCGCACTCTGGCACTCCAGAGTGAATTTACGAACAAACCCTAAGGCTTATATTTACTGTGTTATACTTCTAGGTGAGCTTGACTTAGTCTAGAAACAAGCCCTCAT